GCAAAGGTACAAATGCAGGGTTGACAGGCATACCAGAGAGGAACTGCTTGTCGGTGTTGTCTGTGCGCGGTTTGGGTAGCTTGGGGGACATTGGGCCGTTCATCGCACGAGCACCAAGACGCTGTAGAGGGGTCATGCGAGAAGCCGCAGTTGAAGGTGCAGTTGAGGGGGTAGAGGCTGCACTGAAGACGGAAGAGCGGCGTGATGCAGTCGAAGCAGGTGTTTCGTTTGGTTTGGTGTAAGAGAACTGGCGGATATCTGGTCTCGAGGGAGTAGAAGAAACACGCGAGGCAGACGCCGCAGATGAAGGAGGAGGCATGGAAGCGTCAAAGGATGACATGGAGCTTTCGTCATCCTTGACAAACGAGATATGGCTCTCACTGTCTGCAGTTGTTGAAGTCTCTTGGCTCTGCTTCTCTTCAAACACTGACACACTCTTCTTGGTTTTATCGGCCGGCTTCCAACCCTCAAAATCAGGTAATGCCAGAAGCGCTTCGTCGAGCGAATCATCCGACAACAGATAAGCGCCGCTCTTCGCCCGCCTTGGACTCCTCCGTAGTTTCGGTGCAGGGAAAAATCTGCTCTTCTGTGGCAAATCTTCCTCAGGTTCAGCTTCGTTTTCCTCACACAAACGCGCCTTCTTGGGTGGTCGGTTTGCAGGGTCAGTCGAGGCGCTAGCAGTAGTGCGGCAGGGCTCGGTGCCTTCAGAAGACGTACGCCTCGTAGTATTAGGACTGTTTACAAAATTGTTGAGCATATTGGCGATGGGTTCCGTACGGCGGCGATGAAGTCTTGGGGATGTGCGGGTGCGGGTCACATCCGAACCCCGAGAATGACTCGGAGCAGCCTGAGTAATCTCATCCAGATACGGCCTGGGGAGTGGAAACACGCGTGGTACCAACCCTCCTCCAGTAATCTGAGAAACCCTCTGAGGGTCAACTTCAAAGCAATTAGGATCCATCTCGCCCATCGGTATCCGACTGGATGCCCTGAAATAGGAGCTGATAGGCTTCATCGTAGGCGGAGGCTGGTCAATGACACCATGGGCCAGCTGTGAATGCCTTCTCTTGGACGGTGTTGTCGAGGTGACGATTGGAATCTTGGTGATTGGGTTCATGTCACCTCTGGCGATTGATCGTGCTATCTCAGGCTCTACAAAGGCTCCGATGAAGGGCATCTCCTCTGCCGTCCGTTCTCCATCCAGATCTGTCAGGTGAACCAGTTCCCGTTTGGTCGGACAAAAAACCCACTGATGCAGGAATGTCAGTTCGGCTTGGTAGAACTGCGTCAGGTAATTTTCGGACACCCTTTTCCCCTGCATCTGAACCATCCGGAGTATCCGCTCTGGTGCCTTTGTCTTGCGAAGCATACGGTATGCTGTCTTCAGCCCAACGCCTGGGAGTCCTCGCAAATAGTCGCAACCACTGAAGATGGCCATTCGTCGAAATTCGGTATCAGACCAACCGGTCAATGAAACCTCTCTGCAGGCGCAAAAATCCTTGCGGTTGATCTCTATACAGTTGCCATATTGGTCCAGTTTGGTGAGAAGCTTCTTGGCGCCGAAAACGAGGAGATCCGAGTCGTCCGAGATGATGCCATTGATGAGACCCTGTCGCTCGAGATAGACAAGCTGTGCATCGGCTTCGTAGGGGGCGACAACATAAGGGATATCAAGCTTTTTGAGCAGTTGAATGAGAGCAGATGCCATCTCAGGGGTGATATCAATGCATTTCTGGAACTCCTGTGTGGCCTGGGCAGGTTTTCCAGCACGCAACAGTTCCATTGCAGCCTTTTTCTTCTCATTTCTATTGATTTCCCGGGACTCTTCTGTAGCAGCTTTGCTTGGGAGAAAATCGCCATCGAATACCATGTAGGGTGTCACACCAAAATGCCGAAGCATGCGTACTCGATTCATGGCAGCATGCAGGTATCTGGCAGTAGCATTAGCGAGCTTCACCGTCATAGGGTTGACTCCTCCAACTTACTTCTGAGTCGGCTTTCCTTGACCAAGCTCTAATGCACAGCAATAGGCGGCACGATGGAGCCAACCGTACGCGTCAACTCCGAGAACCTGGCCATCGAACTTTTTGAGCTGAGTCGGCTTCTGAATCGATTTGAGAAGAGGCAGGAGCCCTTGAGAACGATCAGCTTATGTAGACAGGGACGGATACTCGGGGAGATATATACCTGATACACCCATGTTGAAGACCGGAGGGCTTCAGTGCTAGTGGCGAGTATTGATCGTTGGGCTTTGCAGTCGCAGCCCCAAAAGGGACTTGGGCAGCTTCAAGCCAAAATGGTTCGTCTTTGCATGCGTCAACAATTAAGCATTGAGATGTGCCGTAACGAGCTTTGTTGTGCTGTTGATAGACGCGTCGAGAGGGTGATAAGGACGCGATGGCAGATCGTGCAGCGGTATCGAGGGCGGCGATGATTAAACGAACAGATCCGTCTAACAAACAATGAATTTGAGATGTAACACAGCCAAGTCCGCAAACAAGTATGAGGTACAGTCTTGTCGAGAGGCTGAAGGTGTAGCTCCAAGTCAAAGGTTGTTGAAAGAGACGTCTCTAGAGGTGGAGATATTTTGGTTGTGGTGATCGATTTGCTACTCGGGCTAAAAAGCACTTAGTGAAAGTGGGCTGCCTTGGATGGGACGCGACCCCTGAAGCTTCCGTCTTAATGGGCTCCATAGGCGCGTCGATAGGCGCCATGTTTCCATTCCTTAGATCACTGAACCCCTGGGATAAGCCTAGTTCCCGTTGCTCGGTATTTCCCCAGCAACTCAGGTTCCATCCATGAGATCGTTAAAAGCCCCACTGAACATGCTAGCTGCCCTTCATCTTGATATTCTCGAGTTAGCTATTCATCGACGAGCGAGACACACGAAATTTAAGAAACTGAAAGCAGCCTCAAGTGTTGCATCATGTCTAGGACATTTTAATCGTTGCATCACTTCATTGGCTCCCCATCTCCACAACTCACTTCTACCTAGGTATCATAGAGTCGCGACGAGTACATATATCATGACTAAATTAACAAAGCGTCGAAAACACTGAGTACGCGTATGAGCAGGACCTCGACCGGGATGTGAAGGTTATAAAATATATCATCATGTGTTTCCCACAAAGACATGCACTTACTAAAGTGGTTTTTCAGTTCAGTAAACCAGTGATGTTGATTGTGTATATCCATCTGAGAAATTCTACTGGTCCATCATGACAACAGTGGAGCACTCAAGGTTCCCTCAGGTCAACTACTAAGAAAGAAAAAAGAAAAAATCCTTGCAGGTTATAGCCACGACCACAGAGTCTGTACAAGTCGACGATACACATACAGGACCCAAAAGATAAGGACTCGCCATGCCTACCACTCTTCACAAGACCCGCAAGCAGATTTCCAAGAAGAGAAATGGCGTCGTTAATGCTCTACATGAAAAGTCCAGAGACTCGATGCGCCTTCACAAGGCTGGTGTAAGAGATCAGCGCATTGAGAAACTCGCCGCTGCCAGGAGTAAAAAGGAACAACCTCTAGGTACGCTATGAACAAACGACTCGGCCAACTCTCATAATACCTCACTTATCTAACCGCATTCCAGTTGATCGTGTTGCTTTCTTTCAACAAGCTCTACGCCTTAAAGACAGAGATAATAAAGGTGCCCCAGAAATTGATGAGGTTCAGCGCATGATTCACAGGTAAGTCTGGAGGAATAGTCTTGGGTTACAAAGATTACTAAGAAATTCCTAGTTTCGTTCATCAATACGATGAGGAGTATAACGAAACCAAAAAGACCCGTCGCCCTGGCCGGCCTGCTAGTGTGAAAGAAGATCTCCTCAAGGCCAAAATCAACATACTAGAGGATGAGTATAAGAGTGGTTTTGGTAGGTTTCGTGAACCCACCAAGGAATATAGAGGTAACTGACATTGCAAAAGTTATGCCTGATCTCTTGGACAACGTAAATGTGAACGCACTTCACCTTTGGGAAGGCTCCTGGTCATATCTCACCCAACTGAAATGGGTCAAGGTCAATAGTGAAGGCCAAGTCAGACCGACCAGCTTCCCATCAGGCGGCACCAATTGAGTATCTAGTGCATATCAGCATGCGCTGAATTCATAGCACAACCGGAAGTGGGATGACTGCCGTCTTATATACAAGCGAGCCTGACCACACAGTGGTTGTACAAGGACTATTTGAAAGACACCGGGTCAAACGAGCGAGACCATAACCCCCATCAAGTTCTCAGCATGAACATCAAGGAATACAACACAAAACGATTCTATGGATCCGATGGGCAACTGACCTATCGCCACTACCTTCCTACGGCAAGCAATGTGGGAAGATTCTAGAAGCTAGATACGAACAAGCTGCCTGGACATCCCATCAATCGCCTTGAGTGATGGGTAGACATCGTGCTGGAGGTGATGATTCATACGTTCAGACTGCAATTAGAGGGAGAGAAGGAAGCTACAAGTTTTCTTGTGCTCACAATTCTTACATTACCCACAGCTCTGTGGTTATACAACACCAACAGCGACTCAACTTATGTGATGTTCAAACAGGTACCCCTTTTGGTCAGGAAAAGGTTACCAGAACGATACACCATTTCTGACTCATGATGTGCTACAGACTACTCAACGTATAATGCAGGATTCACGTTCAAATTAAATCTATGTACATAGCAATTGATGTCCTTTCGACCGCCATTAATTATCACCAACAAAAATTGTTTCCTTGAAGTGTTTCTACTCCACGTGATGGTAATGCCCCGCTCTGATGGAAGAGATCGCCCAGTCTTAGTCCAGTAAATTATGAGCAAGTCCGCCGGAAAGTTGTCGTCCCCAAAAATTTCAGGACGAGCTTTTGAACTGCTTTAGAAGCTTCTATCATCATCTGCATAGGTACAACACAAATTCCTTCCAATTTCCTCAACGACGACCTTTTCTCCCCCCCTATACGCTTTATATACTTTTATACCGGTCCCTCAACAATTTAATCACAATGTTCTCTGCCCGCAACGTCGTCCGATCTGCGCCCCGCGCTGTCTCCCGACTCTCAGGCGCTGCTCTGCGACAGACCGCCCGTCCCAGCGCCTTCACCAAGGCTGCTTCTGCCCTGCGACCCGCCCAGGCTGCATTCTCTACAACAAGCTTCCGCAAGGCTACCGACAACGATGGTGAGCTTAGCGCCAAGCTCGAGAGCGAGATCAAGATCGAGGAGGACATCAAGGCCAGCGAGCAGGACCCTGCCAGCATTAAGGATTTCTTGAACAACAGCGCCTTTGAGCTCATTGACACACCCGGTCAGGAGATTGTCAAGCTGGTTCGCGACTTTGGCGACGAGAAGTCAGTACTCGTACCCCCCCATTGGTTTCAACAGCAAGCTAACAACGCTATTGCAGGATCACCGTCAGCTTCTCCATTGCCGATATCACCAACTACGACCCCTACGGCGAGGAGAGCGCACTCGAGGACGAGGGTTTTGAGGATGAGGGCGCCCAGGGCAGCCAGCGCAACGCTCGTGCCAACGAGGAAATCGATGAGGAGCTCGAGGAGGATGCTGAGGAGGAGAGCAACCCCCCTATCAACCTATCAATTGTTGTCGAGAAGCCTGGCAAGGCCTCTGGAGCCCTGAACATCGACGCTAGCGCTCAGGAAGGACACATTGTCGTCGAGAACCTCTTCTATTACACCGACGCCTCGGTCGCCAAGGTCGAGAGCCCCGACGCCGCCCAGAAGCGTGCCGATGTCTACCCCGGACCCCCTTTCGGCAGCCTCGACGACGACCTCCAGGTCCTCATGGAGCGCTTCCTCGAGGAGCGTGGCATCACTCAGGCCCTTGCTGTCTTTGTTCCCGACTACGTGGACGTCAAGGAGCAGCGAGAGTACACTCGGTGGTTGAACAACGTCAAGACTTTCATTGATGCTTAGGGCGGCTGATGAGTCAATCAATGCAATGGAAAATTTCTCAGGGTATGGAAGAGCAGAGGAGTCTTCGGTTTCAGATACGATGTATTAAAAGTAAGAATTGCCACTCTTGTACTATAGGATAAGATCCACGAGATCAAATGCACGCCAAGATATGTGTAACGATACGATGCCAACTTTACTATATCCCTCTGAGATTGTGATGGTAGTGTCGACTAGTTGACCGCATTGAACAGTCACGGTTTAGAGCGAAGTCGATAGTAAGCAATACATCGTCAAGAGAATCTTGCTATCTAGTCAGCAATAACCCTGGACCTCAAAAACTCCCACAACTCCAAGTAACGAGTGCGCAAGCCCGCCATGCATCTTCGGGGTTCATCGACTTCTGATGCATATATCACTCCCCCCCCCCCGTGCTACTCTCCGGCGCAATGAAGCTCTATTCCAGAAGTGTCTTTCTGACACAGAAAAGTCCAAAAGAAATACCTCGCATAGCAATCCCAACGACTAAGCTCCCAATTACCTCGGTTGTTCGTGTTTGCGGAAGAAAATCGCATCTAATGCACGACACAACCGAAGTATCAAAACAAAGGCGAGCGTCTACATGATGCCTTCGAGCGACCAGTCACCCTTTTGCGCCCGCTCAAGGACCTCGCGGCCCTTGTCGGTCAGATCGGGCTTGCCATCATTACCGGTGACATGTTTGAAAAAGACGGGCTGCCACGTTTCCTTGTTGGCCTCACGCTGCCGGGCCTTCTCGCGCTGGGCCTCTTCGAGCTCGACCTTCACCTGGGTAGCCTTGCCATATTGTTTGGCGTGGATAGCATCTGTAACACCACCCCAAAGGGTTAAAGATTCGTTGGGAAGCTGTTTCTCCTTGGGAGGGATGATCTTGGGCGCAACACTGAGGGGTGCAATATCGATGATGGTGTATTGCTCTTCCACAGGCACGGATTTCTGCTGCCGGTTAGATTTATGTACTTGAACACAGTGAGATTACCACTTACAACTGGTCTGGGACCGAGAGTAAAAACGACCTTCTCCTTCCAGGGACCACTCAACCGAGCAAGGACATCTTCATCAGGCACGTCCTGAACTCTAGATTTGTCATCGTTCTCGGGATCGTACTTGAAGACCACGCCATCAATCTTGTTTGTTGTGCGTCCCAGCCAGCCTTCCTCCACATAGTGCAGAATGACCTTAATCTTGGTCTTGGGGCATGTGATGTAAGCGAATTCGCTGACCGATACGCTCAAAGCTCCGCGGAGAAGACCGCCCAGATGGGCCGCCGGGTGGGTAAGCTGGTAAGTCTCGCCATCACGTTTTTCGAGGGTTATGAAGATGCCCATGTTGTGCTCCCCAGGAAGGACCTTGACGGAGGTGCCTGTGAACTTGGCAGTGATCTGGTCAAAGCCGCGGGCCGTGATACCCTTCTCGGGGCAGGTGACGTTGAAGGCGCTCACAGGGGGGTGGTGTGAGGTCTGTTCAGTAAGATAGGAGACGCGAATAAGCTTGTCATCCTTTGCAGCGCCATGCTGGGGCACAGAGAGCGAGACGTTTGAAGCGTTCTTATCCCCCTTTGCTGCCACTTTCAGCGCTGAAAGGCCACCCTTGGAGGCGCCATTAGTCTGTTGGAGGCTTGAAGTGTCGATCTTTGGAGCGTTATCTTCAGTTTCCCAGTTACACTACAAAGCAGTCAGTGTTTCTGGAATCCAATCGTCGCAAGGTTTGTATTGGTGGAAGCAGAAAAGGATTACGTACCCTGAAGAACTCGCCGAGACATGAATTGTAGGGTTTGCAGGGCTTTCCTTTGGCATACTTTAGATCCTTGGTCAGCCAAAAGCGTACAACCTCGAGCATTCGATCGAGAGGGTCATCGGAAGTGCCCATAGCAACAAAGGCATTGGGGGCATCGATATAGGTCCAGTATTCCAAGTTCGGGGTAGGCTCGAGCAATTGCGACGGCAGCGAGAATCTAACTGCTGCAAGATCTGAAACGCCGATGAACCTATCGTCGCAATAAGCGGTCAGCATTTGAAAACATACAATGGCATCATCCGGTGTCTTGAATGGCAAGTCCTTTGGCGTTGCCAGGTTTGCTTCCACTGCTTACTCCGCTCCAGGTGAAGCGGATCTGTCGTCCGATTTCGCTGGCTTGGACCCTAACAGAGCGGTGGAAGCTCTCACGGTATGGCATGGCCGAGGGAGTAATTGTGAGTCTCTTACTTCTTCAAAATCCCCAGAAATGTTCGCAACTTGGAAGTATCGCTCTGCGTCTCGTCAGGCGCGTCGACCGTGGGTGGCGGTGTCGATGACGACATGGTCGTTGATAAGCTTGGAGTCGATGAAGGAAGATGGTGCTTGGTGGTAGTGGATTATGCTGTCGATATGGCTTTTGGTGAAGAGTAACGACACGCAGCAGGAGTTGATGCTATCGGATAGGTATGCAACAGACTGCTGCTGGTATAGTAGTAGTAGTAGCAGCAGAGAAGAGGCGACCCCGGAGACAAAAGAAAAAAGATAAGAGGTGGGAGCGACGAAGAAAATAGAAGCCGTGTGGTTGCAGACTGAATCGCAAAAGTCAAGAAGGAAGCGGGCGGTGTTGGTGACGTTTTTGGCGGGGTGGGTTCTGGTCCAGGCCAAACGAAATGGAACTCTTAGAGGCCCCAAAACTTTCAAGGGGGGGCCTTCAGGTGCCTGGTTAGAATTCTGGTTTGTCCATGCAGCGGGAGCCGTGCTCATAGGCCGTACCCTACATTATTTCACGCTTCTTGGCTCGAACGGCCTGAGATCGATGGCAGCGCGCATCGGCGGCTCTGGATTGGTGGGGTGAGAGGTTTTGAGAAACGTTGAAATGAACTTTGCTCGGGTGTCGTAAGGTAGGGCCCTCAGCATTCAATTTTTGACATCCCAGAGGCAATACAGAGACGATATGCACAATGGCTGCGTGAATCTCGCAACACTGCATCGACCTTGACAAGATTTGTGCAACTTCACAATGAACATCTGCACGATGATCGACGCATGGATGCTACTCAACCACTTCGACTGATGCGATTCCTATCGGTGGTCGTACACAACTTGTTGGTCAAGCCAATCATCAACGCACATGGCATTATCCCCGAATTCTAATACTATCCATTCGTCCATCTTCTCTTTGATATTTCGGCAAAAGGCAATCAAAAATTTCTACTAAACCCAAAATCGCATTTCAAGGGTTTAACTCTTGTCAAACAGTATTAGCACGGGGTCTTGTTCAACTGTACCAGTGGTGCCAGCTTGCCCATTCAACTGGACTACTCGTGAACCTATCACTACTAACCTATGGACCAAGGCAGTTCAATACCAAATCCGATGCTTTCATGGACGCTGGTGATGGCCCCAATCGTCTCTTCACTCCTAATCTCCAGCTAAAGCTTATCATTTGTTCTTGATGCACCGAGACTGGATGAAACCCACTAAAAGATGAACACTCATTATTAGATATAACACTTACAAACCAGCATAGCATACAATAGCCAGAAGATCATTGAACTAGGAAACTGTGGATGAATCTGCTCAAACAGAGCCTCATTTGTAATTATGTTGGTATATATACAGCAAAGATTCCATAGTGATTATTAAACAATTCCAGATCGGTGTGCAAAACTCCAAGCGCAAGCCTTTTGCAGTTCTAATAAATGCAGGTGAGCCACCTCGACCGTTTTCATGCCACATACAAGCATTCAATATCCATCCCTCGAGCGCCATGCATATCGCATAAGCGTGTTTACAAATGAGCCAGTTGAACAGCGCCTGTTTTTGGATCTGGCAAGCACTGCTACTGTATCGCTGATAAGAGTATCATGAAAATCATAACTGAAAAGAAGAGACAAGATGAAAAAAAGTCAATCGGCAACTTGGTTTATTGCTGCTGTTGGTCATTGCCCCAATTCTCATTGAGGAAATAATCCCAAGCAGGCTCTTGGTCGCCAAAGGTTTTGGTGGGTGTGCCGGCCTCGAAGCGATCCCATGGTACCGTGTCCGATATCTCAGGGTAACTCTCGCCAGCGATGCCTAGGCCAGCGTCTTCCTCCTTAACATACTTGGAATCGCCGCTGTAAGGATAAGATTGAGAGCCCACCCAGTTGTGAGGTTCAGGGTAAAGGGCAGAGCTAAAGGTCTCGTTCATGCCCCCACCCATCAACAGCCTGGCCTCAGTTGGTAGCTCTGAAGTGAAAGCCGAGCTGTCTGCATTATATTCCATCATGTGAGGCGGCTGTACGTTTGCAAAGGATGCTGTGCAATGAGGCTGCGGCGTCTCGGGATGGGACCCTAAACCTGGTGTGAGAGCTGATGGTGACATGGCTGTGTCGTTCCTTGGCTCTGAAATAGGGCCTGACATGGAAAGACTTCGACCGCCATGTCCATTGTTACACGGTTGACCATAGTTAATAGGCTGGAAGTTTGGCTCAAAATGCTGCTCCATGGGCGATGAGATAGTGTTGTTTTGTGCGTGAAGTGCCGAGTAGCCTGGCGTGGAGTATCTGTGGGAAAGAGATTGGGCTTGTTCCTTAGCCTGAGGGAACATCTTCGCGAATTCCATGTTGATTTCGTTGTTGCGCCAGTCGCTCTCAGTGGCCGACATCATTTGTGACAGGGCCACGCGGTTAATGAGGTATGCGTCCACTCTAGCATTGAAGGCGGGGTTGTCGGTTTGCAAGTTCTGGTTGAGGATCCGGTATGATCTAGGGAATTCATCATCCTCTTCCTCGTACATCTCCTCCTTCATAACAATCTGCTCTGTGATTCGGAAGGCCTTGCCAGTTCGTTTCTTGTGGATTTCGCTGGCCATCTTAGCCGACTGAACACGGGCTTCGAGGCTTCGATCCGCTCGCCTTGAAGCAGCAATATAAGCTCGCTCCTGGTTTTCTTCATGGGATCGCTCAGTCTGGATATACATGTTAGTGACATTGTCCCTGTACGTATATTGCAAAGCGTTGAGGTATAAGTGTTTTTACCTT